GGGTGGTCATTTTCATTGGAGGGGAAGTACATACCACAGAACATGCGCCAGCACAACCATCTCTACACGCACATGTCAGTGCTAAATATCTGTTCCTGGAGGAAGCTGTAACGGCAACAGCGAAAATCCACTGCTGCCCTAAGTTCATGGGAGGTCGCCCCAGCTCGGACCTGCCCCAGGGCCAATTAGCAAGGGAAACATGGGCAGTTATCCACGATACATTAGTAAGTAAGCACAAGTCAGCCTGTGCTTGCCTTGCTTATTAGGTAACCGGACACTGCCCAGGGCCTTTGCCCATACTGTCCCTCTGTCCTGAGAGCGCCATTCTGTGCCTCCCCCACCCCCTTCCTGCCCAACAGGGCTGCGGATTCAACCTGCCTTCAAGTGCCCCTCCCTCTGGGTTAGCAGGGTCCCCTCCTTAGCAGGGTGTCCACTTCCTGACAGCGGCATGGATAATGCCTCACACCTCTTCAGCATTCTCTAGGTCAACGGTTCCCAACCTGTGCGTGGAGACCCCTTTGGGGGTCGAACGACCCTTTCACAGGGGTGGCCCGATTCATCACAGTAGCAAAATGACAGTGATGAAGTAGCAACAAAAATAATTTTACGGTTGGGGGTCCCCACCATATGAGGAACTGTATGAAAGGGCCGCGGCCTGAGGAAGGTTGAGAACCACTGCTCTAGGTTATCAGCGCTGGGAGGGAGGGGCCTGCACCTGTCCCTGTGTCCCCCGTGCCCCTGAGGATCTGGCACCCAGTGGGTGCTGAGCAGCTTCTGAGGCCACTGCAGACAAAGCGTGACTGGGGCTATTCTAGTCAGGGCTCGGGCACACACCTTCCTCCAGGAAACAGGAACCGCCTGGGGCACCGGCCCCGCCCCACTGACGCAAAGACCCTGAACTGAAACCTAGGGCTGCAGAGGGCACAGCCAGCAAGGGCCTGGCCTCTTGGGGCTTCCCAGGTACGTGGTCATGTGGGGCTGAGAGGGGGCTCAGCAGGTTCCCCTCTGTCAGGAACACGGCTGTGCCACTGGGCTGGGTGAGGTTGGGATCCCCAGAGCTTTAGCCAGGCCAGGTCCTTGCGAGAGAGAGATGATACTGGTCTAGGGCAGAAGAGGGATGGGGCTGGTGCGAACCAGAGGGACCAGAGATGCTGGGAGGGCTTCCTGGAGGAGGGGACGCTAGAGGAAAATGGAGCTGGATCCAGGTCAGCTTTGAGCAGGACCAGGAGATCTTTAGGGGAAGAACTCTTCGTCCTGAAGACCTTAGGGGAACAAGAAGTGGGACAGACCGTCCCACGTGGTAGAGGTGGCATCTGAACTTCGTGCTAAGGACTGGACTGCTAGCTGTAATCCTTTCAGAGGGACCTCGGGAGAAAGGCTGGGCGACTTGCGCCTGGGAGACCACAGCCTGGCAGACCCCAGGGAGTGTTGTTCTCCTCTGCATGTGGAGTCAGACACGACCCGCAGGCGGCACACGCAAATGGGCCCATGCATCCGGCCAGGGGCTAGATCTTCACTTACCAGCAAGCAGCCTACACCATCCTCTGCACCTGCCCAGCATCCAGCATCGTGTGACCACAAGAGATGCAGAAAGAGTTCCCCACTTCCCCCGCTCCTCCTGAAGGAGGCCGTCAGATAGACCAGCTCCACGAGGCCAGGCCTGAGCAAGAAAAGAGGGAGGGGTGAGTGGAGTACCAAAGAGAGCCAGGGCTTACATCCAGGGGGAGAGACAGAAAGGATGCCTGGTCCAAACAGGAAGCCAGTTCACTACCCTTTAAAGTGGATGCCCACTCATAGCAACCCTACAAGACACTGTGGCACTGCCCCCCAGGGTTTCCAACGCGGCAGTGTTCACGGAAGAAGACACACACACATGTTTCTCCTGAAAAGCGGTAGGTGAGTTCTGATTGAGGACCAAGTGCTTTAAGCACTGCGCCACTAGGCCTTCTTGGGCTGCCTGGATGAAGGGACATTCTGGCTGGGTTTTGAAGGGTGAATAGGAGTTCGCCAAGGTGGTGGTGGTGGTGGGGAGGAGGGTAGGGAAGAACAAATCTATAGATAGCACCAAGTTTCCCCAGATGGTGCAAATGATTTATCCTCAACCTCTAGCCCTGGTGGTATGGTGGGTTAGACATTAAGCTGCTAACCTCAAGGTCAGCAGTTTGAAACCACCAGCCGCTCACTGGAGAAAAATGAGGCTTCCTACTCCTGGAGAGGTAGTCTCGGAAGCCCACAGGGGACAGTTCTACCCTGTCCTAAAGGGTCACTATGAGTCGAGATCAACTTGATGGCAGTGAGTTGAGTTTGCATTTCTAGCCCAAAGGTTGACGGTTTGAACCCACCGAGGGGCACCGCAGACTGCCAATTTGCTTTTTATAAAGATGTCCACCAAGAGAACCCTGTGCAGGAGTTGTATTCCGTATCGCCAGCTGACTCGACAGCAGCTGGTTTGGTTTTATAAACATGACCTCGTGCTCAGTCATAGCTGGGTTCCTCAATATTTATTATAGACACACATTTATTCTGTGCTGACTGCCTTCCAAGGTAAATAGCACCATTTCCCCCAGTTACAACGAGGAGACAGACACAATGAGGTTAAATGCTTTGCCCATGTTCACACAGGAGGTAAGTGGAGGGAACAGGGACTTGAACCTGGGCCATTTGGACTGGATTTCAGACTCGTGGTTGCTTTGTTAAGATGATGTATAAGACATTTCTGAATAGATCCATCCAAGGTTGCTTGCTTGGCCCAGAATCTCTTTGGGCCTTTCCCCAGAGGGCAGGTTGGTCATCTGTCTCCTGGCAGAGAAAGTCAATACTGACTGCAGTTGTTCAACACATCCCTTCCAGAATGATCTTCCAAGACAATGGAAATGTCGATGGACCAGTGGGGAGGGTGGGGGTGGAGCTCCAGTTTGAGAACAGAATTAAGGGTGAGTGTGAGGGGAATCATCAGGAGCCCTGGGGTCATAATGGGCCACGAGTTGGGCTACTAACCACAAGGTCAGCAGTTCAAAACCACCAGCCGCTCCTCAGGAGAAAGATGAGGTTTCTACTCCCCAAAAGAGTTCCAGTCTCAGAAACCCGCAGGGGCAGTTTGCTCTGTCCTCTAGGGTCCAGATGAGTCCATATCATCTCGATGACAGTGAGCTTGGTTTGTTTTTGTTCTGTTTTGTTTTGAGTGACAGGTCTCACGAGGTTGGCCCCGAGGGATCTGCCTGGCCCCTTGGCAGGCTTGACCGGGATCTAATGTCTTTGTACAAATGGATGCGGTGTTAGTTCTCCCGACCAAATCAAACCAGTCGCCGCCGAGAGTCAATTCCCTCTCTGGCCGTCCCGCCACGTGTCCGAGGAGAAATACTCCCTAGGGTTTTCAATGGCTGGTCTTATGAGAACAGTTTGCCAGGCCTTTCTTCCAAGGTGCTTGTCACCCGACAGCCTGTAGATTAGCAGCCAAGTCTGCGAACCGAACCGTCTAAAACACCCAGGGGCTCTGCCAGCACCCAAAACTCGTGCGTTGTCTTTGAGTCAGTTCTCACGCCTGGAAACTGCCCCTGTCCCAGCGTAGACCTGGGCCTATCGAGGTCCTGATGGCTGCCTTTGGGGGAGCAGACCACCAGGCCTTTCTTCCGAGGCGTCTCTGGATGGGCTCCAGCCTCCAACCTTTCCCTTAGCCGTTTGCACCCCCAGCCCCAGCCCCGGGCACTCCTTTCTCCGCACCGTGTGAGCTCGGCTTTGAGCTTACATCACAATTCTCGAGACCGTGCGCGCGGGTTCACAACCCAGGCACTGGGACATGCTGTAAGGGCTCTCTTCGCGGCTGCCACGGGTGGCAGGAGCCACGGCGTTGGGCCACATTCCTCTATTAGTATCTAATGGCCACGTGGCAACCTGCGTGTGCTAACAGTGCCGGCTGCCTCTCCTCCCCGCTGACCATTACTTAGTATCCCAGAACGGCTGCCCTGAACTCTAGCCACACTTATTTCCAAAGAGAACCACCCAGCACTCCTGCTAATGACATGCGAAGAAGAAAAGGTAGTTTCGATCGCCTCAAGTGCATGGGAAAGCGGGACATCGAAGTAAAGAAGAACCGGTGTTCGAATTGCGGTGCTGGAGAAGAAACATGGACCGCCAACCGTCCCAGAAGAGCGCAGCCAGGATCGGAGCCTTGGTTGGCCTCGCGGACTTTGGACAGGTGGTCAGGAGACACCAGTCCCTGGACTTCGAGGGACCCCAGGTTTGGTCAAGGAGAGGGGCCACCCAGAAGAGGAAGGCCTTTGACAAGATGAGAGGACACAGTGGCTGAACGATGGGCCGGAACATAAGGACGATTGTGAGGCTGGCGCCGGACTGGGAGCTGTTTCGCTCCACTGCACACGGGTCCCGTGACTCGGAACCGACTCCGCAGCCCCTGACTGTGGAGCAACAGCAAGAGCAAAAGGGAGGAGGCCGGTGGTTTTGTAGTGGACTTCTCCATGCCCAGGCGGGAGACCCGAGTTCATTTCCTGGCCCAGGCACTCACCACCGCTGCCTGCTCACGCCCCTTGTATGTGGATGTGACGCTGAGCAGCTTCCAGGTTAAGATGTTCTAGGAAGAAAGGGCTGGCAGTCTTCAGCCGAGGAAAAATGTATGGAGGCCGATGGGCCCATCCGTCACTGATCACGGGGAGGAGGCAGGGCCGGGCAGCTGGGGAGAGTGTCGTTTCACTGTGCCTGGGGTCGCACGAATCAGGGCAGTGACAAGGACAGCCACCGGAGTGAATGACCAAGAAAACTCTTTGGAGGCTCGTCAAGAGGAGGGGTGGATGAATGTGCAAGAAGTATTTGGCATACGCCGGGCGCTTAAGAAACACGGCCCACGTGTCTGTCCACCTGGAGGAGGTGGCACCCTAAGCTACTTATAAGGGAGACACACGTGTTTTAGGGCTGGACCAGTTTTGACTCTCTCTCCTTGCTCCCCCAGGCACACACCCACCCACCCCACTCCCCAGGAAGCCATGATGACGGAGGACAGGACCCTGCCCCCACCGCTGCCTCCACGCCTGGACTGGTTCGTGCACACCCAGGTGGGCCAGCTGGCCCAGGATGGAGTTCCCCAGTGGTTCCATGGAGCGATCTCCAGAGAGTAAGTACACGTCCCGACCTCGGCCCTGACCGCCTCCCTCTTCCCCACCTACCCCCAGCCCGGAGGGGTTTGCAGAATTGGGCGCTCAGCACGCGCAGTGTCTCTGAAGTCACTGTGACCCCTAATAGGGTTGAATCTTGCGTCCCACCGTGGTCAGTTTGGGCCAATCACACCTCTTTCTGAGCTCCAACTTTCTTTTCTTTTCAAATTATTTTTATAGAATAGTTTTGTTGACATATCTCACACAAGCCAATATATCCACTCGCATTTAATTCTGTTGTTCAAGCCCGTCGACTGAGGTCATACAATCATACAGCTCACCCTTCCCGCCCTCCCTTCCTGTACCCTCAGGGAACCATTACTTCTGTAACTATTTCTGAAGGGTTATCTATCTTGGCTTTCATGTACCTTGTAATCTTCAATATACAAATGAATGTATACAAGTCTAACTTGATTAACGAGATGAAACAAGTAAAAACCAAATAGTAAGGGGAGGAAATCTCTACGAACTAGGAGATAGTTATGTGGTTTATCAGTGCCAGATGGCACCCTGAAGTTATCCTCCATTCTGTGTGGCCCTTCTGAGAGGGATTGCCCAATTATTTTGCGTGCAGGTGGGTTTGGGGTCTCCACTACATCCACGCCCCTTCACATAGATTTTGAGCTTCAGCTTTCTGTATGCCAATGTCCACACACCAAAAGGGACTTCTCAGCCGCCCTGCCTCACCCAGGTGAGGCTTCGTCATTCAGAATGGCCTCAGGATCCTTCCCAACCCAGTGCCCAGTGACAGCAACACGTACCTTCAAGACCCTTCCTTACTCAGGGCCCGGGCAGCTGTTCTCCCTCCATCAGCCATGCAGCCCCCGGGTTCTTGCTACATTAGGTTGTGGCCTCTGAGGAAGTAAAGGAAGCCCCCTAGTCAGGAGCCCCCAGGGCCTGGTCTGAACAGAAGAAAGAAACTCTAGTGCCACTTTTGGGACTTGAGTGGACACCATAAAGATCACAGAGCATAGGGCCTGGGAGTCATCTCCGTGCTGGGCAGGCTGCCCAAGGAAGTCTAATGCCAGCCACAGGAAGCAACGTAACATATTTTAGGCTCTAGATAACAAATTTTTAAAAAGCACTAGAAAGAAGTGGGTAGAATTTATGTTCACCTGTTATCATATGTGTTTAAGGTCCCCAGGGAACGAAAGCGGTTTGTTTGCCATCGGCTGCTAACCTAAAGGTTGGCAGTTCAAAGCCACCCCCGTGGTGCTGAGGAAGCAAGTCCTGGCGATCCGCTTCCATCAAGGCGAGAGCCAACCCTATGGAACAGTTCTTTCCGAATGCACCTGGGTGCCGTGAGTTAGAATGGAGGCCACCGTGGTTTCTTTTGTTTTAAAAATCCTGTCATTTTTAACCTGTATTCACAAAAATGCGTTTTTTATTTACAACATATATTCACGTTTCATGTCTATGCATAAGATATCTATTTTATGGCTCCCAATCTAGCAGTCGACATGTTATCAACACTAAATAAGTACCCGTGAAATATTTTACCTTCTTTTTGTTTGCTCCGGGTCTCCAAAACCCACATCTGTTTCAGCCTCGATTTGCCCCAGTCACGGTTCACAGGCTCCAGAGCCACGTGGGACCTGCGGCCTCCATATTGGGTAGCGAGGCCTGGAGGCTCCCCAGCTTGTCCCACAGGAGACCCCTGGCCCTCTGTGACCCCCAGAGCAGAGCAGCAATTATGATGATAAGTGACAATGCCCCAAACCAAACTCACTGCCGTCTAGTCCGTTCTGGCTCCTGGCGCCCCTGCAGGGCGGGTCGAGCCACCTCTGTGAGTTTCAGAGATGCAACTCTTTATGAGAGTAGAAAGTCTCATCTTTCTCCTGTGGAGCAGCTGGTGGTTTCGAACTGCTGGCCCTGTGGTTAGCAGCCCAATGGGGGAACCACTATGCCATCGGGGCTCCTATGATAATCGCAATCATAGTACTATGAGCCCTGGGTGGAGCAAGAGCAAACAGCTTGCACTTGGCTCCTAACAAAAGGCTGGCAACTTGAACCCATCCCACAGTCCTGCGGGAGAAAAGTCTGGCCACTTGCTTCCATAGATTGACATCAGGCCCAAAACACCCTACCCGTGGGTCTACTCTGCACACGCGGGGTCACCACGAGTCAGTCAGAATAGACCGCAACAAGTGGTAGCGGTAACCCTGACAACAGCCAAGGATGAGATAGCAGGTCCACGGATTCTCGCATCAGCTCTGAGCATGAGGGGTTACTTTGCACTCGAGGAAGCTGAGACAGAGAAGGGCAGAGCTCCTCTGGGTCACCAGCAAATGAATGGCAGAGCCAGAGGTCAAGCCCAAATGCTTTGGTACTGTGGCCCCTGGATCCATCGGAGGTACCTGAATGGGGGGATTCCAGGCACTGAGTGATGGGATGTGGAAGGAGGTCCACACAGGAGCTGAGGAAGGTCCTCAGAGGTCTCC